AACATTATCACTCAGTTCATGTGGATTTGGTATAATAGCCAACTAACAATTCTTGTGGTAAATTTTACATTAATTGATAAAATTTACTCACAGGAAATAAGTTGCCCACACGTGCAAATGTATATATAGTTCGCATATACACAAATTATAATTCTGAGGATTGTGTAACATCATCAGTATGTCAGTTGTAACATACGAAGAGGATTATGACACCAAAATTGATGACTATATCATGTTATTTCCCTCTTGGGAGTCAGTGGAGCTATTGATTCCACAGCAAATATGTTTTGATTAAGATCATAGCAAGATACGTTTGACAGCAATTCCAAATTATTAGAACCTATTACATATTTAAAGCCTATAGACATCTGACATCCCATGTATCTAATCTTATTTAGTGAGATAAAGCTATCAATATTTTCTTCCAAGAACTATATCCCTTCAATGCTATATGATTACTGTGCGTTGCATAAAAACCCCAGGCACCGTCTTGATGGTTGGACACGTTAGGACTCTAGAGCTTTTGTGTATGCCAAGTAGATGGTATATTCATCCAGCAATGAATATACTTCATGTGTGTATGTCTGAATGTTTTAATTATCAATTACTGTACTATCAAGATGAGTTTAGCAGTGGAGGCTGTGTTCCCCAGCTATGAACATTGCTGTCCACAGTGTCTGATGTGGTTATGACTGTGCTTTTTTCTGAAAAAGCATAAAAGCAGATTGTTTTCAAGGAAAACTTGATTTATTTTTTTATAAAAAAGAAAATTTATTTTCACTTTTATAGGACATGAAAATGTACAACCTGACTTTAACATTTATAGAATTATTCAAGGCTAACAACAATGAAAATTTTAAAAAATTGTGAAAATAGATTTTTTAAATGTGATAAATGGAACATAGCCAGGTTTTCATAATTTATCAGTTTTTAACTTCAAAGACACTGGTTAGCTTGCATTTTTTAAACTAATGAGTTTATCACAGCTAGTGGGGAAAATGGTTAAAGTACATCAGCTATGAATTGGTACAGAGCACTAAAAGGGACATTAGTCTCTAATCAGATTCTAACAGTTCATTAAATCTGCTTCTCCAGCAGCTCTCTTTGTCTTATCTCCTACTTGGCCCCCTTTTCATCTGGGGGAGACCTGCTCCAGGGTAGGAAGCAGTACCAACACATCTTTCATTGTCTACCAACCACATAGCCTCAGGAGGTTTTGTGAAGGGGGATTCCCAGAGCTTCTGAGGGCAGCTCTCTGGGTGGTGGAACTCTGATTGGCTATGGAAAACTTCCTAGAGAATAGCCTGGGACAATCCAAGCCAGTGGTCAAGTGACATGTTATGGTTTGAGAACCATACCTCATGTGTAAACAACCACAGACTTTTAAGAAAAGATTTTAAGTTTGGAGCATATTAATTGAACTCCCAGTAACACTTGTAATATTATAGTTGCTTCTGCCTTAAAGGATCTATTAGGGTATAAAATCACCCCCCAAATATTGAGAAGTTAAAACAAAAATCTAAGAATGTAGTTTCCTCCCAAGTTTAAGGAGAGATAAATAATGCCTAGCTAGTGTAAAAAAACAGAGGAAATCGCATTAGTCCAAAAATCTGACAAATTACATATATAATATCTCTACATGCGTCCATGTGTATAGCTGAAGGCTACATAACAAGAAATAGCACCAGACAGAAGAAACTTTCCTTTGAGTTGTTGGTCAGGGTAGTCCAAGGGACTCCCAAAATTACACAGGCTATTGCCACAGCCCTTGATTGCCTCCCAGAACTTGAAGGTAAGATCCTATTGCTGAAGACAAGACATACTTCAGAAACAGGATTTGGAACAGTGGAGCCGGAACTGACCTGGAAGCCACCTCCCCTGAATGCTAGCTCTCATAACTTTGGTGAACACTATGCAGGCTGTTAAGGGAGAACATCAGTTGATGATCCAACCCCAGATTCAAGGCCTAATAACAGTATCAATGACCAGCACAGAAAACTTGGCACAGTAATGGCACTTTTATCTTGGGGGTAATCAATAGCTACCTAATTGGACTTAAAGCCCACTCAATGGGAGGAAACTCCTGTGTGGTACTGTAAATATAGCTAAATACATATGACTGGAGAGGTCATAGATCTTAGAGAAAACCCCAAGGCTGTCACAACCCCAGACAAATGTCATTTTTTTAGTACATGCAAAATATGGATCCTTATATTTGTAGAAAAGTACCCCAGTCACCCCTCATCAAAGAAAGTTCTTTTTGCACCAGAGAAAGACTATTGCAGAGTTCCACAACTGGTCATACACAAACACTATGAATTTCCCAAGTCTAAGTGGCACATCTACAATGCAACCTGTACTCCTAAGGCTCATGGAACATAGAACAAGAGGTAAAGAGGACTCTAATGCATCTCTCAATTCTCCTCAATGAAGCTCCCTCCTTCAACAGAGGGCCAGGAACTCAAATGGCCAAAGCGTAGAGAGTCAGAGTCTGCAGAGTGTGGATCCTTGGATACCCACCCAGGGCTTAGGGACCATTGTGGAAGAGGGAGCAGAAAGATTGTAAGAACCAGGGAGGAGGTGAATGACCATATGGAAATAGAGTCCTACAAGCTCCTGGGACCCTGCTTATATGAACCAACAACAATGGCGTCAGCATGCACAAGACCCATGAAAACTCAAGCAGTCAAAGCCCTAGCACAGAATGGTGGAAATGAGCATTGGGCCCCAATCTTAGTCAAAGAATTATTGCAGCTGATTAATGCTGGGTGAGGAAGAGCTGATCTTCTTAAAGGGAGGGACTCTAGATAGGCTGATTGGATTGAAGTGGATGAACTTGCACTGAGGGACATCTGGGACATTAACTTGACAGGATAGTCCTAACACAAATGATAGAATTTTTGAATTCCAGTGGGAGGGGCTATGGGAGTGTGCCAGTGGGGAAGAGGGTATAAAGGTGATTAAGATTGATTGAGATGTTCTGTATGAAATACATATTCAATAAAAATGTTGTATATTTCCAAGGAATGAATATGAGAGTAATTTTTAAAAGTCTACGGATATGAACTCTTTAAATGCTTATTAGTTAACTCAAGTAAATTTGCTTTTTCTTCTTGTTGATTTCTCACAGCAAACATTTGGGATAAGATTGCCTCTAAGTTATAGTTCTTAGAGTATTCTGTTTATACAGAAAAAAGAGTCAAGACATAAGAAACAATTAGCCCTTCATAAGTGGGCTCTGCTGGTATTATTTGGTAATAAAACAGTCAACTGTGATTTGCTGGAATGGGAGTTTTATTTAACTATTTCACGAAAAGCAACTGTATGAAAAGTGAAAGCAGCAAAGTTTTGAAATTGTACTAACCTCTCTCACCCTATAGGCAAAAATATTTAGAAACTGCTTTGTATTATACTTAATAAGATCCATTTAGCATCGTGTTAAGCTCACTCTGTAAGGTCACTGAGCAAAAATAACTGCTCAAAACCTCTGATTCTTTTGTGACAACTTCCAAGTTTAGTTGGCGTTCTAAATATGTTTTATGAGAGGTCTAATATGTATCCCTGGTGTGTGACTTTCTGATTGCCTTTCTAGATTACTGACGTATACTATTCCAAATGCAGTGAGATTTAGTAGAAAACAAATTCGATTTCATCCTCTTACCAACATTTGAAATTCTCTTGAGCCATAATGTAGATAAGATTTTCCTTTCAGGGGTGGTCAACCAAGCCAAACATACGAGAACAACAAAATGTTCTTAATTTGTAATAGCAGTAGGTTCACACCCCTAGGGCCTAAGAGCTCCCAACTATCATCTAAATCCATATCTCTCTACCTATAGATTAGTGAGTGCATGAGACACTAGTTAATAGGGAGACTTACAATTGGTCAAAGTGCAGTAGGACACATGTCTATAAAGTGCTTAGCTATAAATGGGACATGTATCTCACAGAGGTTGAGGAGAACTGGGGCAAAACTGTCTTCTGGACATGACAGGACCATTGCACTTGTGAACCTACATCCACTGTGACTGCCTGTACAAGACCTACAAAAGATCAAGCCAGTAAATTTTCCAGCATGCATGGGAGGAGGACACAAGAGCCTTCTAGCTAAGGAACTATTGGCAGTTGATTGGCTGTTAGGGGAGAAAGAATCAGAATTTTTAGGGGTGTGGCCCCTGGAAAACTTATCCTCCAGTCGATGGCCCTGCATCTACATATGGGCAGCATTAATTAGACTCAGTGGGTTATAAACGATAAATAAAAATCAACTTAAATTAATAGGGACGTGAACTTGGGATGGGGACCTGCAGGTGGATTCCAGAGGAGTGAGATGGGAGAAGTGCAGGGATGAATATAATTGAAATACATTGTATGCATATATGAAATTCTCAAAGAATAAATAAAAATATAATTCTAAAAAAGAATCTGCTCTTAAAACTTGTTTTGGTTGATTTTAAAGTATTTGTTTGGGGACTGCTATGTATAAATTTTCATTGGATCAGAGTTCTCATGATATAAACATAAATGAGCATAGGATTATATTACCTTGCTTTTAAATAATTTATGCTTTTATATCTAATAATTTGTATAAGTTATTTTTACCCAATTTTCTTATTTATGGGTGCTGTACACAGTGTAGCTTGTGGAACTAAGAAAGAAGCTTGCCTTTACATTTCCTCCTGCTATTGAGAAAGTGTGATGAATTATTCCAGCCCCACATAAATTAATGTACGTTTCTACACTGCAGTTTATTACAGTCTGACCTCTAACCCACAGGTCAGAGAGTCACATTGATTCATTCAACTTCCTGGTCATTATTTCAAATGAAAGTTCAGAATGGGGGATAATTGGTCGTGCTGATATTCTCATTGAATTACCCTTCATTGTTAAGGAGTTAGGCCAGCAGTACTAAAGGTGTGGCAGTGAAGGAAGGCTCCACCCCACCCCATGATGTCCTTGCCTCATGCTTCAGAGCTGAATCTTCTCCCTTTTATTCTCAGAATCGCAACACCTTCGAGAACAGAATGCTAATGCTTGATGGGATGCCGGCAGTCAGAGTCAAAACAGAGCTTTTGGAATCTGAACAAGGGGTAAGCAAAAATCTCTGGGAATATTCTACCCCCTTCTGGTGATCATCCTTCACTTCCAGAGCAGCAGGCGGTTGCAGTTAGTCCCTTGCTTAAGGAAAATGACCCTAGATTGTGGTTGATTCTCACCCCCTTGCAACCTCAAGTATCACCACCTCTTTTGGAATGGATAATGTCCTAAAATTAGGAAGTCATAGTTATCCTATAAGAGCCCGATGGCTGAATTTAATTTGGTGAATGATTTGAAAAGTGGTTGATCATACAAAGTAAAGAGAAAGTATTAAAAATATGGGACTATAACCTGTTAAAATGAAGTTCTAAGTTTGGAAATAACAGAGAACAGGCATGGGAATATTATTGTTTGTTAAATGGGTTTATTTATTTATATTTTATGTGTTTGAGCATTTTGTCTTCACATATATAAGGACTCCCCCTGCCCCCCCCCCCATGTAATGCCTACAGGGCCTAGAAGGCATCAGATCTCCTGGAACTGGAGTTACAGCCAGTTGTTAGCCACCATGTGGGTGCTGGGAACCAAAGTCAGGTCCTCTGCAAGAGAAGCCAGTGCTCTTAACCATTGAGCTAGGAGATAGTTGAATTGAGGTCAGTTAATGTGAAAAGCACCGAAAGGCAAAAGCGGGGGGGGGGCATTATTTAGTAAATAGCTAAATTCATGAATTAATTTATGGATACAAAAACATAGTACCTAAGAGCACTGTTATCATTTGAAGGTATAAAAGCTATTTTACCATGGTAATATTTTCAGCTTTACTAATTAAAAGTATTAGGCCAATGTGACTGGCTACTCAGTGTCTAAGCAAGCAATTTAAAGGAGAAAGCACTGTTTGTACAGGCAAGCACACAGTGGCTTAGAGGTTACTTTCACCTCTGAAGCAGCAGAGAACTCACAAAAATGCATAAATAAATGTATAATTGTTGCTTAATATATGTCTTACTAAAAAATGAAAACTAAACAGTAAATTTGCATTTGAATTAAAGAGAATTTAAAAATAAATAACAATCACCAATATAGCGTAAAAAACAGTGTGAGTAAGTCCATGGAAACCACCCCCACCAGAATTAGGGTCTTGATATATCAAAATCTTTATAATGGCCCCTGAGGCTGTGGAACCTTGGTAGCCTTTAGGGGATCTGTTCAGTAACTTCCACATTCCTGAGCTTTATGCGGCCAAGTATGTGGAATCTCAACTTCATTTCTCCTCAGTGCAAGCCTGTGTTTGAAACACATCCCCATTATGGCAGAAGGTACCATTTCATCTTTATTTCTGTCATTGGTTTTTGCAGCTCTGAAATGAAGTGACTAGACAATGTCTACCACTAATGGGGCCCTCAATCCTATGGGGGTATAATGACCAACTGGTCAAGATTCTGCCTAATGCTGAGGCAGTAGAGCATCATGAGAGAAAAAAAATGATGTGTATCCATCAGCCTTGTTTGTTCATAGACAGCCTTTCAGGAAAAGTCGTGTTCATCAGGAGTTTCTAGTCCAGATCATCAGTTTAACCTCTATATCCTCCAAACCTTCTAGTCAGCTAGAAGCTAACCTTGATTAATTAACCCAACCACAGGAAGGATATGCTCTATTTCTTTGGGGTCTGTTGTCTGAATTCATTTCTCAAAATCTAAACTCTTGTCATAAATTTAGTAAAATAAATCTCAGCACAATCTGTCTAGATCATAATGTTTCATTCAGAGAAGACAGGCTTCTCTGAATATATACATCTCTTATACATGCTGTATATATAAAGACCTATGTATATGTATTTCTGAAGATAGCCAGAAAACTGCTGATGGGGAGAAAAGTGAAAAAGCAGTCTGTATTTCACAATATTATTTTAATTTCACAGTGCTAGCTTCAAGTTAAACAACAATAAATCTGTTGAAACCCTACATCTTAGAGGCCGACAATAACTATAGAAAACCCAGTCAGAAACTATGATGTAGATCAGTGGTCAAAGACAAATGGTCATGCATTATCAGAAGTCTGGTAATCTGTAACACTATCCAGAGAATTCTTTCCTTTTTATTATCATTTTCCAATTTCAAGGTAAGATTTGCATGTTTTGTATGTATTTCTTAGGTATATGACCGATATAATTTAATTCTCTGCTACGACAAAGCTTCAAGAAAACCTGCCTGTAGTAGTCAGTGACTTATCTCTTAGAGAAGACAGTGATTTATATTTAACACTTTGTAGCATTTTAAATCTCCTTAAAATAGATAAAATTTACAATTTTATGGATTTTCAGTTTGAGTCACTTTCCTGGATTTTTTTCACTGGAAGTAGTGGGGTGAGTAGTCTACTTTATATGAGTTCAGAATCTCAAACTTATTTTTAGAAAAGGAGAATTTTGAAGATTTCATAACTCTTTTCTCATTTTACTGTTAAAAGCTGGTTGAATTTTAATTCGTCATAAAATGTAAACATGTTAGAGAAATGTAAACGAATCATTGCATATGCAGTTATGGGCTCTTAAAAGTGAGGAAGTGTGTTAGTTACAGAGATCCAAACTTCTAGAAACTCCTCTGTCACAGCAATGAGAAGGCCTAAAGCTGGTAGATCCATCTAATCTAGCAACCTCATCCAGAGGCTCTGCCTTAAGACGTGGGAGTAAACCTTTGGTCTTTTAGGAAAAAATTGTCATTTTTTTCAAGGCAACATTTAAGGCTTTGTATACACTTTCTGTTTCATGTACCACACTGCATATGTTCATTCTCTCTGACTTGTTATAAATAGTCCATCAGGTCAGCCTCCAGTTGCCAGCTGGTCTCTGCCTGTCTCCTGCTCCTCCCAGGAATTCAGGGTTTGGTGAGCACATTTCGGGCTTAAAGGAAGATATGGGCCAGGCCTGGCCAATTCTCCCCTCTGAGAACTTATCCCATTGGCTCACGGCATTATGTGTGTGGCTGTGATTATGTTTCTTCCATCGAATTTCAAGCTCTTGGAGGGACTATTTCTTGTATTTCTTCATTGTATCTCATCATGTACCAGTTAATAGATGTTTTATGAAACTGCCTATGCATTCTAACTAGCATGGCAGATACATATATGCATACATACACACACATATATATATATGTCTATCATCTATCTCTCTATCTATCTAGCTAGCTAGCTATCATCTATCTATCATCTGTCTGTATGTGTCCAGACACATATACACACATATTTACATCTCCAATCAGCTAGTTATCAGCCTTTTCTGTCTATCTCATATGGTCACTGTGAGCATATACATGAAATTTTAAGTATTAGATATACATGTTCTAGTTGGTGCAAACATCTTTGTCTTGTGGCCATGGGAATCACACATGTAAGCACCGGCTCTGAATTCCCTCTGTTTGGAGTTCCCTGGCTCATCTTTTTTGAGATGTGAGAGCTCAGTATATTATCCTGTGACTTCAGTTTTCTTCAAGCTTGTTGTTCTGACTGCAAACACTGTTGAGCAGTCTGTAGAAAGGGTATGTGATCTTATGATATGCTTCAGGGGCACAGCAAGGAGCGAGGGAGTGACTTTGTCTGTGACCTCTGGTGTATGTGCCCTGCTGGTACAAGAACCTCCCAAGCACTGCCAGCCTTTGGATGTTCTATCATGTTATTACGCAAAGGATTATGGCAGGAAGAGAGCTCGGAAAGTATCACACCAGAGAGAAGGCCGACGAGAGAGAGGGTATGCCTCAAAGACATAAAACACTGTTTTATTCCTGGCCCTGCAGTTTTCCAGCTTGAACGATGTTTAAAAGTTCCTTCTTATCTCTTGGCCTCTTTGTCCTCATCTGGGCAGTGGGGTTGTCATGGATGAGATCTTACTTCTGAGGTTCCCTCAGATATTCCAGAGAATATTCTTTGGGAAAGGTCAAGAGGTGAGGAAAAGCATTTTAAAGATGAGTTTAACCATCACACTCCAACAAAGCTACTTGTGCACAGGGAAGTAAAAATGCAGATAGATAGCGAGCCCGACCTGAGTTCTGGTGCCTCTCGAGTCAGTGCCAGTTCTGTGAAACATGCCTCCTCTTCCTCAGTCTCCCTGCCCTCAGCTGGGAACTGGGCCAGCTACCCAGTCTCAGAAGAGCCTGCCTCCCTGTAGTGTGTGGTGAAACATTTTTTTCCAGTTGAAGAAAAACAGAGAAAAAAAGGCCTGTTGCTTCCACTGAGGTTTGTCACCACAGTTTGCATAAGTTACTTAGCAGAGATGTCCACATCTATGTTATTCTGTTATTCTACAAATAATTTAAATGATAAATCTTAAACTGCAAGCTTCCCTCCTACCCTTGACCCCAGAACCTTGCTTATGTTAAGAAAGAGCTCTACCACTGAGTTATAGCCCCTGCCCTCTTTTCATTTTCGTTTTTTGAAACAAAGTCTCATTAAGTTGTTCAGTTTGGCCTTCAACTTACTCTGTAGCCCAGTTAGGTCTTGAATTTGTGTTTTTCCTGCTCAGCCTTCAGAGTAGCTGAGATTATGGGTCTGTAACAGTAGTACCAAGTGAAAGCTTTTTTTTAAAAAAAATTTTAGTTTCTATTTAAGTGTATATGTGGAATTGGATAAAATTCTTTTTAAAAATTAAATTTTATTTACTACTATTATTTTATGTGTGTGAGTGTATTCTCTACATGTAGTAAGTGCAACCATGCTGTACAGTGCCCGCAGATGTGAGAAGAGAGTGTCAGATCCCCTGGAACTGGAGTTAGAGATGGTTGTTAGCCACCATGTGGGTGCTGGGAACCGAACCCAAGTTCTCTGCAAGAGCACTCAGAGCCCTCAACCACTGAGCCATCTCTCCAGCCCCAAAAGTGGATCAAATTCTGATTAGACATTGTCATTTGAAAACGAGAATAATGAAATGAGAAACTTACGTTAAAAATGACAGTTTTGTTGTGATAATATTTGCCCACATTTTCTTTAAAAAAAAAAAAAAGGCATTCTGGAGCAGATGTGATACCTATAATCATACCACTTGTAGTGGAGGATAGGAGTCAGA